ACCCGGGCCGCTGCAGCAACTCCGCACATGGGTCGCCAGCTCCACCGACTGAGCCAACCGGGCACCCACCAGGCATCTAATTGAGGCCTGCATTCATCTGTCAACACGTGTAGCCACACCAGGCTAGTAAATGGGACCTGCGTCTAACTGGGACCCTGCTTTATGTTACCAAAATGCACTTGTCTAACTGAGCTTTTTCTTAGTTGTGTTGTATGTGTTTATAACGAGAGGATTATCTTGTCCTACTAGCGTGAGAACTCAGACACGTCACACATGTGGATGCCCGACCACTTCAGTTTAAACCACTTTGGTGTAAGTGCTGCTGGCCTCTAGCGGACTCTTGTCTTGTTATGAATGGAAATACCATCTACAAAGCCATTCAGTCAGTCAGTGAGTCAGAGAGGTATATATACCGTGTCAGCTGTAACATACTGTAACCACATGCTGATAATCCCATCGTGCACCAAAATAGTCTCAGCCCACTCCATCTGTTCATCCCTCTCTCTTTGTCTTCTCTCTGGCTTTTCTTCTTTTTACATGTTTCCCATCCTGATGGCCCTGACTACTCCATACCCCTCTCTTTACTGGCGTTCTTCCCTTGTTCTCCAAACTTCTACTAATTTTTTTTCTAATCACATTTCCCCCTAATGATCTTTTTCATTCAGTCTATTGAGTGCATGATGCTCTCCACAGGCTGTGAGAGCCTCTCTGTCTCTGCCAGCCAAGGCTCTGTCTCTTTGTTATTCTTGTCCTCTTCTGTTCATCTCTGCTGCCCAGCCCAGATCTCAAACCAAGGGGGACCATCTGAATAAATGAGCACATACTGTACATGCAAACACATTCACGCAAAATCTTAAGGAAGGACTGAATAGTCAAAGTAGATTACTGTTGGGATTTAGGTACAAAGTAATGCAAACACACACATCACATTCCCCTGTAGCTGTTAGCCTGCCCTGTGCCTGCAGGCAACACAAGCAACAAGTCACTCCATGGATATTCAACGCGTGCAGACAACAAACATAAAAGGAAACTTCACCAACAGCAGATTATATTTTTGCTAGTGTTTCCCTACTGATGTCGTTACGTTTCATGGACAGTAGTTCTGCCGAGTCTAAATATAATGGATTACTACTGCACTAAGAAGTCTCCTAGACTTATGCAACCTTTATTTGAGGGACTGCATGATTAAATGGCTCAAAAAGAACTCTTACATCCATCTTTAGGGCTAATGATAGAGTCTGAAGTAATGGCGTTTGTACTTGACGTTTTTTATTTTAAACAACTTTTAACTTTTAAGTGCCTGGAAACTCATCAGAATGACAAAATATAATGAGAGGCGATGCCAACGCGGAAGAAAATGCAGGGCATGCCTGATCAAAACAATCACTGAGAACGAAGTGACACTCGCAAAGCCAAGTCATTCCCAGTGTGAATAAATAATTATGGCAACTGTTCTACAAAGTGTCAAGAGTTGGTCATTGGAGGACGTGTCAGATCATAACTGTCATGTTTATTTTGCACTACTTCTCCTACAACTCGGTGTCAGTGTGTGTTTGTGTGTCCAGTCAGGGTGGCGTACATAGCAATAATCCCTTGAATCCCATCCAACAACGCCTACGACTAACTCAGGCTTTGCTGTCCTCAAGGATGTCATCAACTTTAAGTGTCATTAGCTGTGTCCCAGTTCAGTGGCTGGATCCTCGGAACTCTGAATTTCTAGACTGATTGCTCCTGCAAGTGCAGCTGAGAAATGCAGCCTACATTTGTTCACAGCCAGTGCATCCTTAGAAGCACCCATTATCCCCAAATGCACTGTGCGCTGGTCAGTTGTAGTAGTAGTAGTATTAAGTAGTATTAAGGCAGTATCACATGACCGGGTCATATTTAAAAGGTGTAGGTGTAAATCATGGAAGTCAGGCATATACTTACATATACACTTTTTTGTTCTCTAAACTTTCTGCATTTGCCCAAGTTTCACTTCCTCTTTCTTTATAGCACTTTCTCTCTTTCTTTCTTTGTGTGGCCTGTCTTCTTCCAGGTCCAGAGGAGGTTGCATGGCTCTGGTCCCACTTGGACACACCTGAAGTTGTTCTCCTGGATCCACATTCTTTGCATTTTATAATCCACATGCCACATAGATACAGATATTTTGTCATCAGAATATGTATATACTTTGATTTTCTTGTCTTCTTCATATTACATGTCCATCCTCTGTTGCTCTTCCTGAAGTTTTTCCCTGTTTTTTTTGGGAGGCTTCTTTCCTTACTGAAATCAAGGGTCTAAGGACAGATTGTAAAGCACCCTGAGGCAAATTTTAATTTGTGATTTTAGCTTAATATAATTTTAGCCTGATTTATTGACTCTTGCTTGCAAGTCTGTCATATTTGTTACTACATTACAGAAACGTTCTTAAAATGTTAACACTATTATGTGGGTGTCCATAATAGGCTTGTTAAACTTGTAATGCAACTCTGGGTATCGTTAAACTCTTTTTTGGGTGTTTGAGAGCAATTTTCTAATGACTTTAAAACTTCTTTACAAGCTGACACTTGAACACACTATTAGTTTTGTTCTTTGTGAGGCTCTACCATCTTATTTAAAGAGAAGAGCAAGTAAAGCCACTCAGGTCCACCTTTGTGTACTACATCCTTCAGAGGATCCAGCTACTGAACTTGGACTAGTAATAGTGCCACTCAGTATTAGTGACCTAGTGTTGTCACCAGTATCTTGGATGCAAGGGACAATCCAGCACAGCCTACAGTGTGTCTCATAGTGCATATGCAAGAAGCCAAAGCATTAAACAGTTTTGGCCAAGCAGGCTTCCATAGAGGTGTCAGAAAGAAGCTGGAACTTGTCATGCATGCTGCATCGTTAAAACTCCCTCACCATGCGCTGTTTCCAATTTGTCGGCAGTCTCCCTCCCTCACTCTCTCTCTCCGACTGGCTTCTTTCTCTGCTTTCGGTCTTCTTTCGGTTTGCTCGTCACCCACGCGATCTGGGGGGTAACATAGCAGAGACACGGGCCAACATCACGCCAAGGAGACGTAAGACTAAATCACCAGTCGGCAGGGAGAAAATATCCTGCCAGGTCCTTTGTGTTTTTGATGACAGCAGCCCATCAAACACACACAGCCAACCAGGGATGCATGACAAAACGCAATCATCTGCATCGAAAAAAAAAGCAGCAAGCCCATCATTGTGCCGGGTGCATGGCCTTCTAGAGACGTTGTTTCAGAGAGCCGTTCAGCGA